ATAGTCTAGTCTATAGACTAGTCTATAGTCTAGTCTATAGTCTAGTCTATAGTCTAGTCTATAGTCTAGTCTATAGTCTAGTCTATAGTCTAGTCTATAGTCTAGTCTATAGTCTAGTCTATAGTCTATAGTCTAGTCTATAGTCTAGTCTATAGTCTAGTCTATAGTCTAGTCTATAGTCTAGTCTATAGTCTAGTCTATAGTCTAGTCTATAGTCTAGTCTATAGTCTAGTCTAGTCTAGTCTATAGTCTAGTCTATAGTCTAGTCTATAGTCTAGTCTATAGTCTAGTCTATAGTCTAGTCTATAGTCTAGTCTATAGTCTAGTCTATAGTCTAGTCTATAGTCTAGTCTATAGTCTAGTCTATAGTCTAGTCTATAGTCTAGTCTATAGTCTAGTCTATAGTCTAGTCTATAGTCTAGTCTATAGTCTAGTCTATAGTCTAGTCTATAGTCTAGTCTATAGTCTAGTCTATAGTCTAGTCTATAGTCTAGTCTATAGTCTAGTCTATAGTCTAGTCTATAGTCTAGTCTATAGTAGTCTATAGTCTAGTCTATAGTCTAGTCTATAGTCTAGTCTATAGTCTAGTCTATCTAGTCTAGTAGTCTATAGTCTAGTCTATAGTCTAGTCTATAGTTTAGTCTATAGTCTAGTCTATAGTCTAGTCTATAGTCTAGTCTGTAGTCTAGTCTATAGTCTAGTCTTGTCTATAGTCTAGTCTTGTCTATAGTCTAGTCTATAGTCTAGTCTATAGCCTAGTCTATAGTCTAGTCTATAGTCTAGTCTATAGTCTAGTCTATAGTCTAGTCTATAGTCTAGTCTACAGTCTAGTCTATAGTCTAGTCTATAGTCTACAGTCTAGTCTATAGTCTAGTCTATAGTCTAGTCTACAGTCTAGTCTACAGTCTAGTCTATAGTCTAGTCCATAGTCCAGTCTATAGTCTAGTCTATAGTCTAGTATATAGTCTAGTCCATAGTCTAGTCTATAGTCTAGTCTATAGTCTAGTCTATAGACTACTCTATGGTCTAGTCTATAGTCTAGTCTGTAGTCTAGTCTATAGTTTGTTTTCTGTATGACAGTTTTCTAATTGATACAGTTTCCCATTGTGCAATTTTTCTAGTGTTTTCTCTACGTTTTCAGTTACAGTTATGAATACTTTTGTTGTGCGGAGACGGAAGTTAAGACGCTGTTTACTTAAGTTTTAGTATTTCCGTTTACTTGTCTAATACTCCTCGAAAACAACCACTAAAGAAAATCTTTAAAATAGTTTTGCTTTTTAGCTGCTGCAACAGCGGCATAAAATTTGTGTAAAAGAGTTCATTTTGCAGGCAGCGTTATAAATTAGCGTGAAACTTTGGTTATTTAAGAGGACGAAAATGAGAGCAAATTAGCAAAGGATTGAGGAAAAAAAAAAGCAGAAAAAACAGTTGAAAAAGTTTTGTTTAATACAAGAAAAAGTTGTTATCTCTGCTTTAAACTAAATATTTTGAAAAACGAACAAGGGTTAAGAATAGTTTTACAATCTTCTTTTGGTGGGCTTAATTATGTTGTTAGCAACTTATGAAGAGCAAAAGTTAAGCAGTGTTTAATAAATTTTAAATATTAAGAAGTAAAGGAGGGGTGCAATAATTACTAGTTTAAATAAAAATAATGATGTTTTATTTAAAAGTTTTAACGGTAATTTGTAAAACTAAACGTTTTACATACAAATCAAAAGAAGTCTTCTTTATTATTTAAGGAAATCACAAAACGAGAGTTTTGTTTTGTAAGAAAGAAATTCAATCATAGCTGTACTACAGGCGTTTGCAAAACGTGCCAAGGATAATAATAACAACAATAAAAACCAACAATATTTGTTAATAATAACAATACTGAGACTTTTTTCTTATAAATAGACAATCTATTCATTTTAGAGGGGGGTAAAAGGAGAGGGAGTTATTGTGATATTGAGCTAACAAGTTGAGCATAAAGTTAAATCGTCTTTTTTTTTTAACAAACAAAATAAATATTTCGTTTTTTTTACTTTATCAAAAGAAAAGCATCAAATAAGAATAATAAAATCTCCAATATTTGTCATTATTCTCAAGCAAAAAAGGATAAAAATGGGATTTTTTTCTTTAGCAACCGGAAGTAACAACCCCCTTCCCTTTTACCACACACACATGCTAAACAGTAATGTAGTGTTGTGTATTATTGTGGGTGTGAATTTTATTTCCTTTGATTCATTTGTTTATTTCCACAATTGTATTCTTATAGAATTTTTAAAAATATAAAACAGGAATTGTGTAAAATAGAAGAAAAAAATTCACAGCTTTTCTTGGAATACAAAGGACTTGTATGTTAATGTTTCAATTTGAATAGAATAGAGAAATTTACCTACACACACATGTTTATTTCTACACTTGTTTGTGTAAGCGAAAGAGAGAGAGAGAGGGAGAGTATGTGTTAAATAGTTTAAAATTCCTTAAAAAACTGTTTAAGGAAGGATTAAAAAGGATATAAAATACACAACATATATACATACAAGGGTTTTGGTTAATAGTTAAGAGAATGGGGGGCGGGGGTTAGAGAAGTGTGTGGGCTGTATATTTGTTATAATTTGTTACATGACAAACTGACACAATAGATTTATTTAGTTATTTGAGGTTTTGCAAGAAAAAAAGTCAAACTATTCACAAGAAAATTGAATGTTTTAAGAAATTTTTAAACTGAATGGAGATTGTATTCTACATCAGATCCTCCATGGGCCGTCTACTGTGAGCTTCTTTACTTGGAAAATGTTGCTGGGAAATAAACCTTGTTGGTTTTTCAGTTTCCTGGACATTAGTTTCTTTAGAATTTTCCAATCAGTATTCCTGAAGAATGAAAAATATCAGTAATAACTTCACACCCAAGATATTTGCATCTAATTACGTCAAAAACCAGATTTTCAATATCCTCTTCTCATCGTTCGACCAATTTTGTATAATGGTGTACATATCCTCGGACCATCTTATCGCGAGAAAGCTTTTTGTCCTGTCCTCATTAGGTTTACCCCGTAGGATCTTTGTGGTTCCACACACCGAATGTCCGTAGGGAATTCTCTCATCAAGTTAACTTCCTTAAGCTCCCTCCCCTTGATATCAAATACATTCGCTCTAGAATTGACGATAATCTCTGAGTGTCCTGGTACTAAGTTACCTGGTATATGATGCACAACTATTATAGGAATAGCATTCTCCTACGTTCCTGATATCGGCATATAGCCTCTGTGGGCGTCATATTCAATCCAATGCAGTTTATACATTACATTATAGCATGGACTTCTGGAAGCTAGTGTTTTGATTAGGTAAACGGCAGTATATTTCGTTTGTTTAGTTGTTTTATTGTTGATCCTCAGAACCGGTTTGAATTCCACTTTAGAGCCATCCGTTTAACAACAGCTTTACGCAGGGGTCTGCTATAATGTTCAGCTTAAACACAATCTCCCCTCTAGGACCAATGTCTCACACTTCCAGATTATTTCCACATAATATTGAGGACTTTATACAGAATTTTTCATTCCATTGATCAGCGAAACCTTTGACCTTTAATTATATCTTTGAAAAATAACTCACTTTTCAATTTTTGTAAATTTCTAGTTAGTTTTTTTCTTTAATACCACTCTCCTGAACTTGTTCAACATTTAGTAAGTATGACCTTTGACCTCTAACCCCCAAGCTAACTGTTAAATTCTTAAACAACTTCATTAGATAATCATGAAGAAGGTATATGTCATTTTCATTACACTGTAACGCTTTTAAAATTTCAATTTAAACACCTAACTAATGAATTCGAAACACCTTTAATCAGCATAACCTTTGACCCTTTAATAACCCAAAGTCCAACCCAAAGACTTTACTTATTTGAAAAAAGTTTTTCTCATTTATATCTGTCTTTTCATCTCCAAATTCCTACTTATCCCTTAGAACATTTTCCAGGCTTAACTAAAAACATTTGCTTAACATGACCTTTGACCTTTATTAATACACCTTCCGAATAAATGACTAAAAAAGTAATTAAATTCCCTTTTTCAGAAAGTTAATAAAAAAGTTTAAAATTTTTTACTTTACAATCTTGCTTTCCGAGTTTGAATTTTGATTCCAACCTGATTAATTCTTATAGATTTGTCATCTATTTTCTCATATTGACCTTTGACACTTAATAACTCACTTGATTCCGTAATTCCGTTACGACATATCCTCTATGATAATTTGGTATCTAACCCATCACCTCCGTGAGTTCTTTTCCAAACTTTTTTACAGTAATTTTTTAATTTGTCATATATCAATGTGACCTTTGACCTTAAATTTCTCATCTGTCTAATTGTTTCTACGATTTGGAATACTGATTATTTCCGTATGACACCATTCCAAATTTATCATTCACATGACCTTTGATCTTTTTTATCTTCATAAATTTCTAAGTAATTTCTTACAATTCACTAAAAAAAAACGAATTTTCAATAAAAATCTGAATTTTTCACCAAAAATATTTTTTTTTCGTAGAAATCAGATGTTTCATTCAAAATTTCACTAAAAAGCCTTTTCTTACTATAAATTCGAATTTTCACTTAAAATTTGACTTTTTGCTAAAAATCCCAATTTTCACTAAAAATTTTAAATTTCACTAAAAATATGAAATTTAACTAATAATATGAATTTTCACTAATAATATGAGTTTTCATTCAAAATTCGAAATTTCAATAAAAAATATGAATTTTCGAAAAAATGTTAAATTTTACTAAAAAATCTGAATTTTCACTAAAAATCCAAAATTTCACTAAAAATATGAATTTTCGATAAAAATGTGAATTTTCAATAAAAATATGAGTTTTTGCTAAAAATCCGAATTTTCGGTAGAAATCGGAAGTTTTCACTGAAAATCCGAAATTTCCCTATAAATATGAATTTTCACTAAAAGTACGAATACGAAAGCTTAAACTAAATTGAGAAAATAATTAAAAAACCTTAAAGATTTATGCTTTTTTTATAGCATTTATTGCAAGAACACTTTTTTCTTAAAATTAAAGAAATTACATATATTATAGGAAATTAATCATAATCATAATCCAAAATTACAGTCATATTAGTCACATCATCGTTAGTATCAGTTTTCATTAACAGTCGTCAGCATTCATTCAGTTATTCGATTAGTAGTTATGCATTTGAATATTATCATCATGATAGATTTTAACATCCTTGACCATAAGATTGGGCATATTTATAACACCATCGAGATCGGTGATATCACAGTGCAGAGGATAATTCAAAGGCAAATGATCGAGTAACAAAATATCTAAAGCAGAAGAAGTACCTTGATTACGGAGTCCAGCAGAATTTTGTTGAACGCGAGTGATGACAGTAATCAGTTGCATGGGTAAACCATTAGGGCGACCACGTGGCAATAACAAACGATGAGGCAGACGATTGGTTTGACCCACCAAAAGATTGCGTGGCAATTGGATGTTGCCATTTAAGGCTTGCATAACATGTTGATAAATCTGGGTAAGAGGTGTAGTATCACGGGCGGTTAAGGTTATATCATTGGAACGAAGTTTAAGTTTATTGTGGCCGGGATTTAATTGAGCAGTTGTTATGTCCAAAACAATGACATTTTGACGTCTTTCTTGTAGGGGAATTTTGTTTCCTAGACCATCTACTTTGGGCACCAATAAATTGCGCACCACCACCTGCTGCTGGCGATCGGAAGTGACATCAACTTCAATTTTAAAGTTTTTGTGGTTAAGACGAGGCACGCGACCTATAACTTCCTTCGATTGATCCATATTGTTCTTTAGCAAATTGCTAAGATCTACTTCGGCATATTCCAAATAGGTTTGCAATTGGTCAACATCTACATCATGGATGGTAACACCTTCTAAGGTGTTAATGAATTCCTTACGGGTTCTATACACCTGTTGTACCTTATTGTCGATGACTTTCACTATACCGGCTAATAGCATTTGAGCTCCTTGATTTTCCAAAATATTGGCTACTTGTCCTTTACGGTGTTGTTGCTGTACCGTGCCCTGTTGTAGAATCTCACCCAAGAGTTGCACCAAACCAATTTCTTCAATTTGTCCGGCTAACAAAAGACCAATTTCATTGACTTTTTGATTGTAGCTCATAACGGAGATGTCACCAATTCTTTGTTCCAAAACTTGATCAATACGCTGGAGAATTTCTTCAATTTTTTGCACGGTATGTACATCAACATCACGTATATTGTTGGAGCTAATGGTTAAGTGTCCTCCCATATTGTGGTTAAGAAGACCTTGTTGACCCAAGTTATTTTGAGAATTATCTACCAGTTGAGGTTGTCCCAAGGCAATACGTTCTACATTGAGACGTGCTACTAATTGTTGTATGGTATACAACAATAGCTTACCAGTGACCGCCTCGACATTGTCTATATTTTGCTGTTGATTGATAAGACTGCGTCTGTAGCGGCGTCCAGTGGTTTCACGATTTTGTCCACGATAGCTATCACTGTTCTGATTACCACGACGGTTTGCATCATAGCTGTTGGTTTGATAATTTGTTTGTTGTTGACCACGTACATTTCCTTGGCTGCTACGTCCCTGCCTATCAGTTTGGATCATATATTCGTCATCATCATCTAGATCTTGTTGAGCGTTGCTAACACGACGTCCCTCTTCCACGTTGCTAAGTTTATGGCGACTAATGTGTAATAAACGTTCATCATCAATGCTGGTGGTGGGTAAACGCATATCTAAGCTACCGCCTTGATTCCACATTAAATCCTGTTCATTATCAAACGGTTGTCTTTGACCACGATTCACAATGTTAAGAAAATCATTACGACCACGACCCACACCCATGCCATAACCTTGACCTTGTTTACCGTATAAATTTCCATAGACATCATCATCAATAATTTGCTGTTGACGCCAATTATTACGACCGTTAACATTCAAACCGTACCGGCCTTGTTGCATATTCCAGGGCAAATCATTGTAAACATCATCTGGGTTTTGGTCCCATAACATACCTCTTCTATTGACATTAATGTAACGTTCGCTGTTCTCTCGTCTACTATCGTATTGGGAGTCTTTGTCATCATCTTCATAGCGGTACTTGTTCTTGTTTTGGCGTTCCTCATTTTTGTCTTCCTTGGAAACACGACGTCCTCCAGAGATTCTATCATCATCATCATTGTCATGAATATTACCACCGCTAATCGTTTGCACATTATTGGGATCTTTACGTCGTCTGCCTACAAACAAGAGACGAGCATCATTGGCACTAACAGTGTTAATGCCATGTTCTCTTTCCTGCATATTGCGGCCAACGGTTTGTCCTTGATTACGTTGCAAGTCTCCGAGATATCTTCTTCCGCCTCCCATTTGCAAGTCTTCGTTATCATAAATATTTTGGTTTTGTGTTTGACGTCTTCCTCCCGCCATAACACGATTTCTATCCATAGCATGTTCATAGTCAATATCTAAACCTCCAAGTCTTCTGCCGCTATTACCTTGCATTTCATCCGTATCGACACCGATTCGACGTCCTCCCATATTATTGCGATTAAAATCATCGTTTACACCAATATCATTACCACGCTGGCGACGGCCTATAAATAATAGACGATCAGTATTGACACCTTCTCCCATAGCATTGCCACGTCTGCCACCGCCTTGTTGGTAGTTATTGTCATCGTTATCACCACGATTTCTGCCGAATCCTCCCAAGGTATTTGTTTGTCCTCCTCCCAGAGTATTATCACGTCTGCCACTTAGAATACCGCCTTGTTGGTAGTCATTGTCGTCATTATCGCCACGATTTCTTCCGAATCCTCCTCCCAAAGTATTATCACGTCTGCCACTTAGAATACCGCCTTGTTGGTAGTCATTGTCATCATTATAATTACGATTACCTCCCAATCCACCGTAGGTATTCAATTGTCCTCTACCGCCCAAAATGCCGGCACTACTATGCATATTATTATCATTTCCTGCACGATTCATTTGTCCTCTTCCTCTCAAACTACCACCTATTCCAATAGGTTGCTGGTTCTGGGAGTTTCTTATAATATCTTGATTTACTATTAGTTCGTCGATAAGAATGTTGACATAAGCTTTAAGTCCTATATCCTGGCTCAACAAACCATTACCAGTTAGAGGAATTTCCAATTTGTCCTGTTGAATTTGACCCTGTTGCTGTACTACATTACCACCCATCATACCGGGTCCCTTACCGCCAAGCATCATTTTACGCCAAGCTAATTGCCGATGGAATTCGCGCCAGGGCATCCACAATTGAGATTTATTCAAGATACCCAAGAAACCACCCTGCTGCTGTTGCTGATCGGCCAAAAAACGATTTTGATGGCCCATACCAATAACATCCATCAATTGAGGTCTAACTGAAGAAGTTCCCGATTCCATTTGATGTACTTGATCAATAACTTGATTAATAACCTGATCTTGTTGGTAAATTTCAGCTAAAACTTCATACAAAGCAGGCACAATCAAATTTTGGGTATCGTTGCGTTCTCCCAAAGCCAAAATCAAGGAATTGACAAACATTTCGGTATTAACGTTTTGGCGGGCATAGACTACCAAATGTTGGAAGGTCTGGAAATCACGGGCATTCACCATAAGTCTATAGAGACCCAACATTTGCTGCATATGCAAATCATTTGTGATTCTACAAATGGTTTGTTTCCCCAACATTTGATTGTTGCGTATCAAATCCAAAACCATAAGCATTTCACGGGTTAAAGGCTACATAATTAAAGAGAATTACTAAAGGCTCCAGGCAATATGTTTAAACTTAAGCTTACACGCATGTAAAGATCCTCATTGGCCACGGTATTAGGATCATCCAACTGCAATAGATCCTGCTGCTGCAATGGCTGATAAACCAAATGTAAAACATCCAAAATGAATTTTTGACGCAATAATTCATCTCTGGACAAGGTTTGTCCAGTGCCTGAACCAATACCAATTCCCATACCACCAACACCTCCTGATATACCTTTAATTGCCATTCACATTTAATACTCAAAAACACATTTTCCTTAAAACAACTTACCCTGCATAGTTTGCAAACCTAGACCGACTTGGCCCGTGAGACCCACTCTTCCACGATCCAATATAACACCACCGGCCACCAGGCTGGCCAGGCCCAGTAATACAATAACAATACGCTGCATGACAAGCACTAAGTCTTTAAAAGACTTTTATTATAGCAGTTATTTTTCAGACTCAGAAAAGTACAACTTTTAAGACGATGTTATTAGGCGAACTCTCCCTGAAACGCCTAGCAAGTGACTGTGCTTACGTTAACCACAACTTGAGTATTTATACCCTTAGACCCTGTCCACCCAATCAGCAGCCATTATTATCAGCTGTTGATAATGGTTCGCTTAAAGGTTATTAACCATTCATTCTCCAAGTTAAGAAAATAAAGAAATAGGCTACTTAACGTTTTTATCAATATAATTTTGACTTTTGCAGGTCAATTGATTTGTCGTTTTTTTTTACAAATATTATTATGCAATTAACCAAATTTATTTATCAGCTCTTGGGGGACTATGGGTCTTAAATTTTTTGCAATTTCTATAATCATTGCTTGGCAATTTTATTGGTTGCTATAAGTGATTAAACAATATATTTATTATATTGTTAAATTTATACTAAAAATAATTGATCTTTTTTCTTTTGAAGCCTAAAAGATTGTGGAAGCTGTATGCATAAAAATAATTTGCAATAAATTTTATTGAAAACACCAGCAGAGTACAGTCATCGCAGTAAATTTCCAAAAAGTTATTAAATGTCATATTGATTTTGTGTTTTTGTGAAATAAAAATCTATCAAATTGCTTTTATAACGTTGTGTAAATGTGTCAGTGACTCAAGAAAGCTAGATGCTGAACAACGTGGTTTTGAAAAGATTTGTAAGGTTTCAATTCCAAGGTTCCAGCTACTCAATTAGTTTAATGTCTGGCCTAACTATCAGGAGGATTATTACCGGGAGAGGGATTTTTCAACGATCAGTCAGGGTCGCCTATGACAAAGGCATCTAAACCGAGGAAGATCCATGTAAAATTTCCTTCGCACATCTGCGATTCTGCGAGAATCTGTACCTTAAAGTTAGAGCGCCTGTTTTCACGTGTTCTACTTTTCATAAAGGTTGCACAGATTTGATCCGTTAGTGCACAGTGCTCGTAGATCTGTAAATTTAAAATCCACCAACAATTAACCTGGACAATTAGACGGAACTCGAGCAAAAGAGCCATTCTCCGATCTTTGTACAGTTCGATTTTTTGTAACTTTCGGATGCTACGATCTGACTTTGAACTGCATTATCCCTACGGTGTCTACGATATCTAATCCTTTCAAAAATCCTTGATTTTATCAAACTAGTATGAGTTGATCATATAAAGAATGGTTAATTGACCTCTGTATCAATTGCCTTTGAACAATGGAAACTTCATTGTCCCTACGGTCTCCATTCGAAATCCTTGCTTCTGGCATCAGCATGACAACTCATATTCAATCTACGGTCAAACCACTGTGAAGTGAGCATACGAAGAAAGGTTGGTTCCTACCAAGCAATTTCCTTAAGGTCTTCACCTTCGAAAGGTTCTAATCTAATAGAAATCCTTCATATGCTCACGGTGTGAAGTAAGCATATGAAGAAAGGTTGGTTCCCACCGAGAAATTTCCTTACAGTCTTCACCTTCGACACGTACTAATCCAATAGAAATCCTTGATCTAGTTGCTAACAAGATGGTTGTACCAAAAACCAGTACCTCGTGGGCACACAAAGGATATTTGGTACTTTTCCTTGTTCCAGCGGTCTCTACTTCCGAATAATGTAATCTCCATTGTCCCCAGAGTCTTTGCGACATCTGATTATTTCTTAATCCTTGGAATTGGTAGTGACAAGAAGCATACGAACAAAGATTGAGTACCCACCGTCCAATTCCCTTAAGTTCTTCACCTTCAACAGGTTCTAATCTAGTCGAAATACTTGATCCAGGTTGCTGGTAAGATAATTTAGACTTTATGTACCGATAAACTAGTACTTGGTGAGCACACGAAGAAAGATTTGGTATTTTCTCTTGTCCCTTCGATCTGCACTTCCGGAATTAATCCTTTTGAAATCATTGCTGGTAAAACGGTTTGATTTCAGTTCTTCTTTATCTACTACCAAGATGTAACCCTATCGATATCATTTCTTCAGACGGTTCCGATTCAAGTACAACTGCCTTAGCTCTACAGTCTTCACTTTTGTAATAAATAGAATTGGTGCAAAATCTATCAAAAGGCTCTTGGAGCTATGAGTATATCTACCCCTTGCCAAAGAGGATGTTCTTCCGAAAAACATGTCCTTACAGCTAATTGAACGTAACACTAGCGATAGTTTCCATTTCATTTCTTTAGAAAACTAAACATTGGTCGTTATGCCTCCTAGTGTATCGCGAACCTATGTCATAAGTGTAGGTCACGGAACAAGGTCACATTATGCTTGTGAAGTAGCAGTGAAATCTTTTAACTAAACAGGGCTCAAGATCCCATACATACTATCTGTATGGTTCTATAAAACACCAATTAAGTGTAAATGTTAAGGTTAAAGGTTAATTAAATATTTAATTAAATCAAGTTTAAGGTTGTACTAAATCAAAACCGATAGTTATACAGAATGTTCTATAAAATCTCAATTCGGAGTGAAATTTAAAGTTCCATTAAACCTCGATTAAGATTCAAAATGAAAGTTCTATTAAACCTCGATCTAGTGGCTAATTGAAGGTTCAAATAAAACTATGATTAAGGGTTAAACATAAGGTGGTAAACTAAGTGTTCTATTGAACCTCTATTGAGAGCTTTTATAATGCCGCCTAAATTTTGATTTGTGTATGATTAATTTATTCCAAAACTCAACATATTCTACTGCGATAGTCTAAACAAATTTTAAAGAAAACTTCAATAAAACTCTTTTTTTACAAAAAATTATCAAAACAAGACAAAAAAAGTTAACAAAATAAACCCATTTTTTATTAAATTTTCAAATAACAAAAAAAAGCAAAAAATATTGAAGATAAACCATCCAAAAAAATAACGAACTTTGAATAAAAAACCCCAACTTATAAAGAACAGAACACTACGCCAAAGTGGCACGTTTCGAGACAAATTCCCGGGATGACTTTTCCTTGTTGGTGAAACGAGCATAACTGGAAAAATAAACCATTTGAAAGATGAAATTTGTAGCAAACTTGTAAAGAAGAACTTACGTCTTTTGATATTTAGCCACATCCGAGGCACTAAGCGAGGGTCGAGTGGTGTTAAAGGCCTCTATTAAATGTTTCTGCTTAACAGCTAGTTTCTCAGGCAGTTTCTAAAATTAAAAATCACATGGATTTTTTTAACAAATAAAAGCTCTAGAAAACACCAATGGAATGCATGACCGATAATGACATAATGAGGAAATGAAAGGTGCCATGAGAGGGTTAAAGGTTTAGGAAAAAAACTTGTTTTCAATATGTTTTAGTTGATATATTTAGTTTTATAAATAAATGGATTTTTAATACGTAATACACACTGAATATTATCCTTCTTTTATTTTTCTTAAATTAAACTAAAATGACGTTTATTTGCTTAATTAATTTTTGTTTAAATTTACATATTTTTTTTTTAAATCGATAACCTAATTGTGCTAGTCTTTTGGTTGTTTTTGTTTATTTATATTTTATTCATAATAATAAAAAATAATAATAATAATTTGTTTTTTAATTATATTGGAATGTCTTTGTTGTTTTTGTTTTTCTTGCTTAAATCATAACACTTAATTATTAAATATTATTAAGTACTAATTTAATCTCTTAAATTGTTTTGGTTTTTGTTTTTGTTTCATTTAATTTTAATACTAATTAAATTTATAAGTATACTGATATCTAAGGGAATTCTCTCGAAAAGTTTCCGCATCTGATTCTTCATCACTACTCGATGGTGGTGTCTCTAACATGGGCATGGATAAATCTAAATATTCTTCATTAGAGGTATTACTTGTCATTTGCAAGATTTTATCTAGATTTTCCACAATTTCGGTAAAGGTGGGACGTGCTGTGGAATCAAAATGCCAACACTGACGCATTAACATATAAATATTTAAAGAGCAGCGTGGTGGTTTTTCCATACGTTGTCCCGTTATTAAATAACTATATAGTTCTTCGGCTGACATTATATTGGGATAGGGTTGTTCGCCATATGTCATTATTTCCCATAACAAGACACCGTAAGACCAAACATCTGATTGGGAATCGTAGAATTTTTCCTGCAACGATTCGGGTGCCATCCATTTGATGGGTAAACGACCGTTGGTATTCTTGCGATAGTAATCGGTGTCTTGTATATCACGGGCCAGGCCAAAATCAGCTATCTTCATAACGTAGTCATCACTGACGAGCACATTACGAGCAGCTAAATCACGGTGTATGCACTGTAAGATATTTTTGGGTGTAAGATTAGTTGAAAGTTTGAGAAACAAAGGAATACAGAAGAGCTTGATTGAGGGATCCAAAAAAAGGGTTTTAATAAAATGTCAAATTAAGATCCTTTCGATCTCTCCCATTTGGTGCGTATAAATTGCCTATAACTCCTCCATATATTCAATTGTCAGTTCAACACTACTTTAGCTTTTTGCAGAATCCCAACTCCAAGCTAATCCAATAAAGAAACACATTCAATTTCCTTCTCCTATAAAAGAATACAATTTCCGAAAACTTTTTGTGTTCTTTCTGACTCGTGATCCTCATTTGTTCCATTCTGTGATGGTTGGTCCTACCGTCCCTTGTCTTACTTCTTGCTATCGGAAAGTCTTTGTGTTCCTTTTACCATATTTGTAGCAGAACCCCTTAACTATACTTTAATCCTACATTAGTTTCTTGAAGAACTTCAAATCCGAAACATAACCAAGATCCAAGATCTTTTTGTAAAATCACCAAAATCCAAGCTAATCCCACAAAGAAACTTATCCAATTTCCTTCTCCTATAAAAGAATACAATTTCCGAAAACTGTTCTCTCGGATATGTGATCCTTGTTGTGATTCTATGTCGAATTGTCCTCCCAACCTTTGTCTAATTTTCTGCTTTCGGAAAGTTTTTGTGTTGTAGTTACCATACCATCCTCATGTGGTCCCAAAGATCATTGTCTATCAGAAATTTCCCTACATTTGTATCAGAACTATTTCTTCGATTTCAGGGCCATAAGCACCCGAAAAGTGCGCCCGAAGTTACAGCGTCCGTCGTTTGCATTCTTAGAAATTCTCATTGCCCTAACTCACAGCGTCCGTCCTTAATGTCAAGAATAACTTTATACCTTTCTCGGTTGCCTTGGTTCTCCCTATAAGACATCTCACTAGTAACTCCCGGAATCTGCGATTCAATATATTACTAGAATTTGTTGAAACATTTCCCTCTCATTAATAACCGCCCAACCAAGCCTTCTCTTTAAAAAAAACACCATCGATTACTTACCCGTCTTGAGGCCAAATATTCCATACCCCGAGCTATTTGGAAGGCAAACGATATTAAATGTTTCTCCGTCAAATGGGTTTTATCATCCAAATATTCACTATTACGCTTCAGACTACAGCTGCCCCAATTCGACAAGGGACGATTCTTTTTCAGGAAATCCTTTAAATTACCATGCGGAGCAAACTCAACTATAACCCACAAGGGGCCATTTTGACTGCAGCAACCCAGCAGATTAATAATATTAATATGTTTGCCAATCATTTTCATCACTTCCATTTCACGCACCAAACTGGCCATATCAGCATCGGTATGTTCTTCTTTAACCATTTTCACAGCCACTATGGTGCCACCAGCGGAATTATTAGCCGAAACTCGTGGTAAATTACTGCCCTGAGCCATAACCACACGGCCAAAGGCTCCTTCACCCAAAGTAGATCCCAAGGAAAGTTGGCTGCGCGGTATTTCCCAATTAGAATCCAAGGGAAATTCGTATTCATTGAAACCTTGATTAGGATCCGAACTGGAATTGGTGGTAAAGGTGGTGCGTTGTTTTTCAATTTTGATAACCGGCATTTGTAGATCACAAGAACTTCCCTCCGAGGGAGGAGGCTTGTAAATAATAACTTTCTTTGTCCACTGATGCACTGTTTCAATGCGCTGTTTTAACAGCTTCTCATGTTTCAAATTGCGCATGACGTAGATGACAAATATGGTGCCCAAAAGAAAGAGTAACACCACTACTATGGCTACTGCGGTAATCGTTACCGGATGACCTCTCTGCAAACCATCACGATGAGGCAATTTATCCACCACCTTAAGGTAAGCACTAGCCACCGTTTGTCCCAAAGAACTGGCCGCCACACAAGTATACCAACCCTCATCTTCGTGAGAGACTTTGGTGAAATTCAATAAATTTGGATGATCGGGATCACGATCCATTATAACCACATCTTTGGACAGCATACTTTGATCATTGGAAAAGTTGGGCACCACTTTTTCCAGTTTCTCTATAGATTCATTCCTTTTGGTGTATTTAAGCCAGACTATATAGGGTTCTAGATCCGACACCACCCTACACTCCAAATAGGTAGAGCTGTTGGTTAATACAGTTTGATTTTGTGGAAATTTATCACTGATAATAGGGCGTGAACGTAAACGATCGGAAACAGTGACTTTGGTAGAATGTTCTATGCAACCTAAGTAATTGCATACGGTGCATTTATAGACACCCGAATCTTTGGTAATGGCATCATCCATTTGTATAGACCATTTCTTATAGGTAACCTTGCCTATATGACGTTCAATTTCGGTGTTATTGCGGGTCCAGGTGATATTTGGCTGAGGATGTCCAGTAGCGGGGCATAGTAATTGTATGGAGCTGCCCGAAGGTTTATGCCAATGCAACATTAGCTTATTAAGATTTTTAAATTGTGGAGGTTTATCCTCTTCAGTATCACTGCTTTTATTATCCGAATCATGATCTGAGGATTCATCATTGTCGTTTTGTTCTAGATTGAAGGTATTAAAGTCCACCGTGGTAACCGTAACAGCTTGATTGCGCAAATCCTCTTCTGGCTCTAGAGTATCATTAACAAAGGTATCCGGACTCATGAGACTGAGATAATAGCTGGCCACTGCTTCCCCCAAACTATTGGCTGCTATGCAGGAATACCAGCCTTGATCTTCCTCCTGCACACTACCCAGCCTTAAAATATAAGGCTCATCCGCACTTGTTAGCAGCTTAAGAGCATTAGGATTGTGTCTTAGATCAAAAGCATGATCCTCGGTAAAATTTAACAAATCCGTATGATAATACCAAACAATATGAGGCTCTAAGGCCGATATAACATCACACTCAAACTTAACATTTTCATCAGCCATAACAGTTTGATTAACCACTGAACCTTCCCGTATTATAGGAGGAGAACTCTCACGCTCTAAGACATTTAGTATTGAAGAACGATAAATACAGCCATAAATATTGCATATAGTGCAGGCATATTCCCCCGAATCTTGACTTTGTAAATCTTGTACTGAAATAGACCATTTTTTGATTTTATATTTCGTTGAGGACAAATCCAAAGAACGATTGTTAAAGGTCCACGAGATATTGGCGGCTATATGCGAATAAGCATTACAATTAAACATGGCTGTGCCGCCCGAATACTTTTGTGTGGTATTGTAGAGTTGATAGCTTTTAAATTTCGGCGGAAGATTTAGGGACTCCTCTATATTATCCACCTCACCACTGGAGTAAACAATTTCAGCTACTTTTTTCTCGGGAAGAGAGGAAGGTTTCTTATTCAAATCTGTGGAGTCTTTAAGTTTAAGAGTTTTAATTTCTGTTATTTGGCATTGAGAATCTTTGCTGCATACTTGCAGGCTAACATTGGCCCATTTAAGATAATCATTAGGTTTGTTTGGTAGTTGAGAGAGGCAACTATAAATGCCTGCTTTTTCAGGGGAAATTGTAGGGATTTTGAAGGTACGATTGGTATTTAGATATTGTTCATTATGATACCAAATGGGCTGACTAAAGGGGCATACTATATCCACATATTGACCCTCTTTGACTTGTTGAGTTTGTAATAAATCCACTTTTAAGACAATCTGCTGGGGTTGTTCTTCGGTTAAGTTTACACTTTTGCTGTTAACACTTTGCCATAAAGGAAGTAGTAAAATAGGCAGCAGAGTAATCAATTTTCGTCTAGTCCTTTTTATAGGCATATTGGCTGCTTTGGGTTCTTAGATTTTTTATAAAGGTTTCTTTTCTCTTTCACTCTGTCTTTCTTTCTTTTTACAAATTAAATAGAAAAGTTTTGAGTTTTTTTTTTTTTGTCCAATTCCTTTTGGTTTTTCTTAACAACAACAAGACTTAATGTTGTTTTTAATTCATGGTTAAAATGACGACATTTTTCATACACAAATGGTTGTGCTGAAGCTTCTCTATTAGATTTGTTGCTGGAATTTTTTTTTTTTTTTAATTTGTTTAAAATTCAGTTTTCAGTTGGCTTGTTAGCTGCTCAATCGATTATTTATGTAGAAAATTGTATGTGCATTGTTTTCATAATTAGCTTTGCTGGAACAGCAGTCAGTTTTTTGTATTATTACGGCCGCTACCAAATGTAGTAAAGCATTACGCTATGTTTAAGTCAATAGCTAGAAAATGATTGAGTTTAGCTTGGAATTAAGCTCAATATTGAAAGAAAAAGCTCAATTATCGGAAGAGCGTTTTAGACCTCATTTAAATTTCTTTTTAAATATTCCACGTTTTTTCGTTTTTAATTCATATTTTTCGAATTTTGTTAATATTTAATAACTTTTCTTATTTATTTTATTTTATTATTTTATCAATTCCTTTTTTTATAAATCCCAGAATTTTCGCTTTTTATTTTATATTTAATTAATTTTTTTTTATTATTTTAAAAAAATATTTGTCAAATATCACGTTCTTTACTTTTATGGGCCGTTAATGCCACACTTAATATTTTTTTAATGTTTTATCCAGCTTTTCAATGCTTCAAGTTTGTTGTTTTAAGTTTGAAACACCAACACACTGTCACATTGCCTGTACTTGTACTGCTCTTCTTGCGTTTCCAAACACTTTTTTGCATTTACTTCCGTTTTACTTCCCCTACACACAAACACAGACACACTCAAAAATCACCACAATTCTTTTTTTTAAATAAACAATAACTTTTTTACGATCGATACCGTCTTAACCAAGAGCTCAAACAAGACTAACGACTTAAATCTTATTCAAAACTTTTAGTCTCCCCGGGAAGAAGAAATAAAAAACACAAGGCACAATACATATGTCAAAAAACACTCTAACACTGACACATACACCCACACTTAACACGCACACACACACACCGATATAACGATTACCTCTAGCAAAAAAAGCACTTGTCATTTTGTACTTAACATCACGAACGGATCGTCACCAATAATCTAAACATTTACTCAACATACGCTCTCTGTCACCGTAAGTAGTAAATATCAATTCTCTATATTAAACCCCATAACCCTCACTCACTACTCTCAACCAATAAGAATAGTTAATAAGTAAATAATTTATGTTAGAGTATGTGTGTGTGTGTCAGGAATATATTAATCCTTGTTACTCCTTGTTCTTCAACGTTTTATCATTGTCTAGGAAACTAAACAAGACTTTATCTTTTACCAACTACCTGCGTTTTGTTTTTTGTTGGATTTTAAAGATATGTATATTTTTACTAGAGTTTTGCATGTACTTCCCATAGTTAGGTTCCCGCATCTTCTTAGAATGTTTAGTTAGAATTACACTGAAGTCTTGTGCAATTGTTACAGTGTGTGAAAAAACTAATCAAAATTTGGTTTTTATCACAAAAATATCTTAATCACGAGTTTCTCTTTCCTTTTCGTTAGAAAGAGGATTTCTGAGTTGATTTTGAGGTACCGAGGGCCTAACGTAACTCTTTGAGTTTGCTAAATCGAATCGTATCTCTGATGGTCACCCTTTGCAATTTGCATTGGACCCATCTGATAATTACCAAATTTAATGGCTTGGAGGCCATCAGGAGCAAGTTTTGGCAGCTTGCATTAAGAATAAAAATCCTTTAAGATTGCTAAATCGAATCATATCCCTTATGGTATCTCTGATGGCACCCTTTGCATTTCCGAATTTAATGGCTTGGAGGCCATAAGGAGTCAATTTTGGCAGCTGACATCAAGGACAAAGATCCTTAGTAAGGTTAAACGCACTCAAAGTTACTGCTCAGTGTGAGTCAAACATATCGAGTAACCGGACCTTCAAAATTCATCTCTTAACATACGTTGAAAGGTGCAGTAATGTAATGATGACGAATTGTCAGGATCTGAAGAGGATCATGTTTTCATCTGTGTGGAATGTATTGACTGTAAATTCCTTAGTTCATGTGATAATATGTGGAGCTATTTAATAGAGGACCAAATTCTCTTGATCCTCTGCTTTTTGTACTAACATGTTATCGACCTTTAGAAACTTCAGAGACTAAAGAAGATCAGTTTTTGGACGGTCCGCAATGATTCAAATTAATTGATCTTAGTATCCAAAGTATCTTAAGAAAAATAAACAAGGGTTTTACAGGCATAGAATACAATTTTTTCCCCAAAATCCACAATGATTCTCAGGAAGGTGGAGCCTCTAACAATATTCAAAAATATCTGATTGTCAGATTCCAGCTTGTTTTTATAGCCAATATTTCACCCTGAAGAACTATCGGCGTCAGAAGATCACGGCAATGATTCGCCGGAGACCTGCTAATATTTCTTTGCAAAACGATAATCAATATTTAAATGTGTTAAACTCCAGTTAAAAAGCAAAACCTACTGGATTTTAACAGAAAAAAATTAAAATTATACCACAGAAACTGATCTCCAATCTAACCTTAATATCAGGCAGTCGTGATACTGTGACTTTTCGATTCGGCGAACTCGTCTAATTTGAAAAGACTTCTTATCTTGCTATAGAACTGGACTAGAACTGGACTAGAACTGAACTAGAACTGAACTAGAACTGAACTAGAACTGAACTAGAACTGAACTAGAACTGAACTAGAACTGAACGAGAACTGAACTAGAACTGAACTAGAACTGAACTAGAACTGAACTAGAACTGAACTAGAACTGAACTAGAACTGAACTAGAACTGAACTAGAACTGAACTAGAACTGAACTAGAACTGAACTAGAACTGAGCTAGAACTGAGCTAGAACTGAACTAGAACTGAACTGAACTGAACTAGAACTGAGCTAGAACTGAACTAGAACTGAACTAGAACTGAACTAGAACTGAACTAGAACTGAACTAGAACTGAACTAGAACTGAACTAGAACTGAACTAGAACTGAACTAGAACTGAACTAGAACTAAACTAGAACTGAACTAGAACTGAATTAGTACTGAACTGGAACTGAACTAGAACTGATTTAAAACTGATTTAAAACTGAAATAGAACTGATTTATAACTGAACTAGAACGGAACTAGAACTGAACTACAACATATAGGACTTTGTACTGAAATTTCTGAAAGTTTTCTATGGATATAAAGAAAATAAATTGAAAATCTATGAAATCTAAATTAAATAAAAAAGTTTTTAGATTAAAAAAAAATCATACACAAACCAAATTTAAGAGGTAACTAAATTTTATTAACTTATAAAATCATAAGAAATCAAAAAGTTGTTAATATTTTTTTAACTAAACTAGTTTTCAATTCAAAATTAAAATGAAATTGAATTAAAATTCAAAACACCTAAAATACAAGTTATAATTATCACTAAAAAGGAATTCAGAAATTTTCATAATTTCGAACACAGACTGTATTTTTTTCACGATTACTTTTCTATTGTTGTAGGATAGAAGAGCACACTGAAATCTGAGAAGAGCCAGAGTTTTAAAAAATATATTTATCTAGCAAAACATTTTATGAATTTTATATTAATTCATAAAAAATGAGAAACACAAAAAAGAAACAATAACTACAATAAGTAACTAATACACAATATTTGTTATTTACTTTTCACAGATTTGTTTTCATAATTTATGCACATTTTGTTGGTTACAATATCGGTTGGTTCTGGTGTTTAATGTTTGCAGAAAGCAAACAATTTAAAGAGACAATATTTTTGAGACTTCAGCCATAAAAATCTATTGCACTAGAGGTTTTTCTGTACAGGTAGTGTTAGCTGACTATTCTTTTGCAATCGTTTTGGTTTTGTTTGATTGTTTTTTTTTTGTATTTTAGAATAGTTGCTGTTTTTGGTCTTGTATTTTGTGTTCTTACTTAGGTTGGTGTTTTTTGTTATTGTTTTGTTTTATTCTTTAGTAACTTGTTGTTATTATTGTTGTTGTTGGGTGTTATGGTGTGAGCGTTTATTGAATATCAATCAGAAATATCCGTTACGTGACTTATTTCTTCCTTTGCCTATAAGCAAAGTAAGCAAAACTAACCAACCCACCAAAAGTAACACTAGCATTTGTTTTCATATAAGAGTTTGAAATTCTAATCTGTATTAGAAGACACTAAAGATAAAAAAGACACTCGTTCGAAGGATTAATATTTTTTGTTAACCCGCATTGTTAATTTTTTTCTTTTGAAAAATTGTACAAAACAGTTTAGTAGTGCTTGTTTTGTTAACGCTCTAAAATCCCAAATAAATTCTTATCTTTTTTGTTTTTGTTTTCTTTAAACACCACAAAACAAATTGTATATTTTGATTTTGCTCCTGTAAAAATTGTGTCTAAATTATTTAAAAAACATTCTTGGCACGTACAAAATTCGTATAATTTTATGATAGTTTACATAGTTTCATCATTTTAGGTGTCTTCTCCTTTTTCTCAGGTTTACAACAAACAAAACAAACAGACAACAAAAAATTAATTTACTTTTTTTGTTTTTGTTGGGACACATTTACGTATTGTCTGTTTTAGTATGCATTTTATAACTTCCACATAATAAAATAATTTTCTTGTAAAACCATGAAAATGTGATGGATATCGTAAGATGTAAATTGTTGTTGTTTATGAATCGAGTAGTTTAAGGGAAAAGAGTAAAAAGAAACAGACTTACCTCATGTCCAAATTCAGCTATAGCCTCTTTAACGGCCAACATATTGGCTGATGTCAAAATACTTTGTATATCAGCTCCTGTATAGTTTTGTGTCTTTTCAGCAAAATATTCAAAATCTGTAGATTCATCTAGTATCAAGGTACTGGCTAATGTCTCAAATATAGCTAAACGTGCTGCGGTGTCTGGTAGAGAACACTCTACTAAACGATCTATGCGTCCAGAACGTAGCAAGGCAGGATCTAATAACTCCGGCCTAGAGGTAGCTGCTATTACTGTGACGCCTTGGAGACCTTCTACTCCATCCAGCTCAGTTAGTAGCTGATTACAACACGATCGGTAACACCGGTAGAGTCTGACCACGTTTGGGCGCTAAACTGTCAAACTCATCGAAGAATAAGACACAAGGTTTAGCACTGCGGGCCCTTTAAACGAAAATAGAATTGCAGTTAAATTAAAGAACTGAACTAGAACTGAACAGAAACTGAATCTAAGAACTGAACTAAAACTGAACTAGAACTGGAACTAGACTGAACTAGAACTGAACTAGAACTGACTAGAAACTGAACTATAACTGAACTAGACTGAAACTAGAACTGAACTAGAACTGAACTAGAAAACTGTGACTAGAAACTGAACTAGAACTGAAACTAAAAGAACTGAACAGAACTGAACTAGAAACTGAACTAGAACTGAAACTAAACTGAACTATACTGAACTAGAACTGAACTAGAACTGAAACTAGAGAACTGAACTAGAACTGAACTAGAACTGAACTAGAACTGAACTAGAACTGAACTATAACTGAACTAGAACTGAACTAGAACTGAACTAGAACTGAACTAGAACTGAACTAGAACTGAACTAGAACTGAACTAGAACTGAACTAGAACTGAACTAGAACTGAACTAGAACTGAACTAGAACTGAACTAGAACTGAACTAGAACTGAACTAGAACTGAACTAGAACTGAACTAGAACTGAACTAGAACTGAACTAGAACTGAACTAGAACTGAACTAGAACTGAACTAGAACTGAACTAGAACTGAACTAGAACTGAACTAGAACTGAACTAGAACTGAACTAGAACTGAACTAGAACTGAACTAGAACTGAACTAGAACTGAACTAGAACTGAACTAGAACTGAACTAGAACTGAACTAGAACTGAACTAGAACTGAACTAGAACTGAACTAGAACTGAACTAGAACTGAACTAGAACTGAACTAGAACTGAACTAGAACTGAACTAGAACTGAACTAGAACTGAACTAGAACTGAACTAGAACTGAACTAGAACTGAATTAGAACTGAATTAGAACTGAACTAGTACTGAACTAGAACTGAACTTAAACGAACTAGATAAAAACTTACCTGTTGAACAAATTTCTCACATTTTCCTCACTTTGTCCAATATATTTGGCCAATAACTCGGGTCCTTTCACAGATATAGTTCTTAGATTCCAGGAATTGGCTAGCTTTGAAACTAAAAAGGTTTTGCCGGTACCAGGAGGGCCATAAAGTAACACCCCAGCTTGATTGCGCAAAGGAGAGTTGTTAAATATGGTGGGGTACTAAAGAGAAAACAAGAAATATAGACAAATTTGTATTATTCCTATAATTGTAAAAGCACTCACCCTAGAAGGCCACATTAACACCTCTTCCAGCACTGAAACCACTGGTTCTAAGCCTGGAATTTCCTCCACAGTTAAGTTATCCTCACTATCTGCCGCACTATTAGAAGACTGGTGACTTTCTATGCCTTGCAAACAATAAGAATTGGTATTCTCTAAAGAATTTTTTAAATGTTCATTGGTTAAAACCGGTTGATTTTTACCTTAAAGAAAAAACAAATTTTTTTTTTAAAAATAACATTAAATTTCTTTACACTTCCCTAACTTACTTATACGATAAGCATAAAATATAGCCCGCTCCACAAACTGCACTAGGTCTCCTTTATTATAGCCTTCTGTCAATAAAGCAAATCTTTCTAAATCCAATTTCTCAGAATCTATATGACTACAGAGATCCCTAAGAACCAATTCCCTATCCACACGTTCCAAATTGGGTAATTTTGTAATTGTCTGAAACAAGTGACGTCCCCGTGGAGAATACAAACGTTTATTGAGAGATTGCACCTCATTTACAGTGGCTATAACAGCTATGGGATGATTACTGGTGTATTGTACCATAAGTTGATGTACAATATCAGCAATACGATTAAAATATTCACCATCTTGTGTGGCTTGATCGGCAGTGGCATGAGCTAAGACATCGAGATTTTCGAGGACTACAATGGAGGGAGCATTTTGTAGGCAGGTAGTGAAGACATTGCGTAAATCTTTTTGTATAGATTCGGCCTGGAAAAACAAATTTTAGAATTTAAAATGTTGTTGATGAACTAGAACTGAACTATGTGAATAAAAATTATTTAAAAATGTGATTATTTTACCTTTCTCCCCTTACTGCGCGTACAATAGAATATATCAAAATAACAGTAATATGGTTTTCTTATCAACTCATCCAATATACGCTCAACAAACACACTTTTACCCGCGCCCGAAGCACCTGTAATTACAACAAAAAAGAAATACGAAAAAAAACACATTTTACAACTTTGGCACACATTTTTTCTTTACTTCAAAATACATTTAAATAATGTTAAGGCCGCAACTTACCCGTTATTAATATGTTCCCCTGACGTAACACACCATTTTTGGCATCTAAACACAAATTACTTTTCAATTCGTTTGACAACTTTTCAATGCTTTTGTCAAATTGTGGCAGTTTTATTAAATCTTTAACACTTAGCGGAGAGGCTACATTAGCTGCTACATCGACTATATCATCTACTTTGCGCACTAAATCGGCTGCATATATTTTACTTTCCTTCAGGAATTGGGTGTCAATGGCACAGTATTTAAAGTGTTCTGGTAATATGCCTACACTTACTACCAGATCCTCCTCTAAACGTACCACTTCATTTTGATTCAGTAACATGGGTGAACGATTGGTTTTTTCGATGACATAACGTTTGAAAGCATTTTCCACTACCTTGTAATGGGTCTTTTTGTGAGCAAACAGTTCCATTTTCTCCACAAAATTAACCACATTTGGTTTGGGTTTGAGTACCACCTTCTCCAATTCCTTAAGATCTAAAATTTTCATTAAATTCACATTGATTTCAATGGTGGGGTGTATAGTTTGAGCAATTTCCGCGTGTGAAACCAAACGTATGCGTACATAATATTCTTTCTCTTCCATTGTTTTCAAACTGTAAACAGTTGTGTTATCCATATGACTGGGCCAATTGACTTTATTGATGAATACATCAGATATTTGATAATCATTTTGCCATTCTCCTGATATCACACGAAATTCTATAAATTTTGATAATTCTCGAGTTAAATCACGTTTTAGTCTCTCCATTTTATCTTGTCGATTTGTTTTAGCTAAAGTTTGGGATCTTTGTAGATTTTTTATATTGGCCAACGTTGTGGAACGCAATAAACGTTGTGTATGCCGATCTTCATCTAATATGCCCAACTTAGCTACCGTATTACTACGAAATAATTTATCGTTTATGTCTTCTTTAGTTTCATCACCATTACTAATACCTTTGTACAGATTGGGGGCTATCACTAACTCAGTATTGTGATCTATACGTCCATAACCCAGACTAGGTTTGATGCGATCCACCGTTAAGGCCACTTGCATGGATTTATTAATCCATACTATAAGCATTTGATTGGAGTTAATAATGCGTGTTTGATCTAAAACACTTTCGGAAATTTTCTCACTACTTAGTTCCTTTAATGGATAAAAGAACAAGTTGTATAAATTTTATATTTAAATTTTTATTAAATTACTCACTATAATTTCCCAGTCTTTAGCTGATACCGGTGTTACAAATACATTTCTTAATAGAGGAGCATCAGCCACCAAAGCACATTTGACCATGTCATTTTCATTTAAACCTAAAAATAGTTGTTTATGTTTTATTAATGGAATAAATACATATGTAAATATTATATAAAATTATTTATATTTTATGAATTAAATTTTCATATTTGATTGGTTTATTTACTAGAATTTTTAAATGAAACGTGCAAACTCTTTTAAATTGTGCCATAATTTAAAAAATACTATAGTAAATTTATGACGTTAATGAAATCTTTTATATTTCATTAATTATTTTATTATAAATAATATTCAAAATGCAATTGAAAAAGGAAAACTTTGGATATAAAATGCTAACGCAAAAAACTAAAAAGTAATACTATTCTAGTACAGTTCTAGTTCAGTTCTAGTTCAGTTCTAGTTCAGTTCTAGTTCAGTTCTAGTTCAGTTCTAGTTCAGTTCTAGTTCAGTTCAGTTCAGTTCTAGTTCAGTTCTAGTTCAGTTCTAGTTCAGTTCTAGTTCAGTTCTAGTTCAGTTCTAGTTCAGTTCTAGTTCAGTTCTAGTTCAGTTCTAGTTCAGTTCTAGTTCAGTTCTAGTTCAGTTCTAGTTCAGTTCTAGTTCAGTTCTAGTTCAGTTCTAGTTCAGTTCTAGTTCAGTTCTAGTTCAGTTCTAGTTCAGTTCTAGTTCAGTTCTAGTTCAGTTCTAGTTCAGTTCTAGTTCAGTTCTAGTTCAGTTCTAGTTCAGTTCTAGTTCAGTTCTAGTTCAGTTCTAGTTCAGTTCTAGTTCAGTTCTAGTTCAGTTCTAGTTCAGTTCTAGTTCAGTTCTAGTTCAGTTCTAGTTCAGTTCTAGTTCAGTTCTAGTTCAGTTCTAGTTCAGTTCTAGTTCAGTTCTAGTTCAGTTCTAGTTCAGTTCTAGTTCAGTTCTAGTTCAGTTCTAGTTCAGTTCTAGTTCAGTTCTAGTTCAGTTCTAGTTAGTTCTAGTTAGTTCTAGTTAGTTCTAGTTCAGTTCTAGTTCAGTTCTAGTTCAGTTCTAGTTCAGTTCTAGTTCAGTTCTAGTTCAGTTCTAGTTCAGTTCTAGTTCAGTTCTAGTTCAGTTCTAGTTCAGTTCTAGTTCAGTTCTAGTTCAGTTCTAGTTCAAGTTCAGTTCTAGTTCAGTTCTAGTTCAGTTCTAGTTCAGTTCTAGTTCAGTTCTAGTTCAGTTCTAGTTCAGTTCTAGTTCAGTTCTAGTTCAGTTCTAGTTCAGTTCTAGTTCAGTTCTAGTTCAGTTCTAGTTCAGTTCTAGTTCAGTTCTAGTTCAGTTCTAGTTCAGTTCTAGTTCAGTTCTAGTTCAGTTCTAGTTCAGTTCTAGTTCAGTTCTAGTTCAGTTCTAGTTCAGTTCTAGTTCAGTTCTAGTTCAGTTCTAGTTCAGTTCTAGTTCAGTTCTAGTTCAGTCTTAGTTCAGTTTTTATATTCCAAATATTTTAAAACATGCAATCAAGAAGTAAATTTGTTTTCTACAAAGACCTTCAAAATTTTCCTTTCTCATACAATTTTTTTCTGTGCTCATTTTATGCTCTATTAGTGTAATTAATTAATTTATTCGTACTTTTTAGGCAGATTTCGTCACTGTCACAAACACTGTGTATGTATTTACTACATATGTTTATAAACAAGCATGTACCAGAAGTTATATATAAAAATAATAATGTTTAAATAACAAAACATATAAAAACAGGTGACCAGAAGACCAGTGGAACAAAATTAAAAATAAATTTTTGTCCAATTTGTAAAAAGAAAGTTGTTTTATAGAAAAAGTTTCCAACAAAGTTCCTCTGTACATATATTCTTTTAGAAAAGTTTATCTGTAGTTCCCGTAAAGTTAAAATCTGGAAAAAGTTTATCCACCAATATCGAATTACTAGAAAACTTTCCTTCTGCTGGCACCAGCTGGTCACCCTTACAGTGCAAGCACATGCATACCAAAAACAACTGTATGAGTGCGTATCAATGTGCACCTATTGTATATAAGAATCTGCATGCAAATGTTTATGTTTTTCGGTACAAAGTGCCAAAATATCATAATGATCTATTAGTATCAATATACTTACCAATCTCTTTAGCAACCCTGGCATTGATGGCAATTTCAGTCTCTTTAACGGCGCCCGAATTCGGAGCCCAAGATACATAATGTATATGAGCATTATATTGCAAACTAAGACAACCCGTATCCTAAATACAAGAATCAAATGAAATCTTTATTTAACATTGTTGTAAATTAATAACTTAGATAAGCGTTAATCTTAGTTATCTGTATTTTAATTTAAACAATTTAACAACAAACATTTGATAGGCGGACAGACACTCATTTAAAAGGTTAAATTCCAAATGATTCCCTTTTGGGTTACACTTACATAGGTGGACACCACTTTATAATAATTTTCGGGCAGTAATATGAAATTATTCTTAACCGGACGGAAAACTATTTTAAAAGTACGTTTAAACATTGTTAACTTTTTAACAGATCGCCTTTATATATAAATTTAAAGATTTTCTTTTTAATTTTTTTAATTTGCTAACTTTTTCTTTTTCTTGCAAACTTGAAATCTTAAGAGATTTCCTTCTTTTCTTCTTTGCTTTATTTCTATTACATTGGTATGTTGCAACAGTTTGTTGTTTTGTTTTATAAATAATTTATTTATACACTATTTTCACTCTAAACTATTGGACTTTTCAATGCAAACTGTTTATTTTCTATTTTGTTGAACTTTGGCGTGAAAAATTTATCTTTTTTTGTTGTCAAAAACCAGCTGTCGAAAGACAGGGTATAACAAGTATTAATTAATTTGTGAATTGTTGTTGTTCTTATGCTGTTTTGATAGTACCGTTATATGTAAAAGGCGCAAATCAAACATGGTGGCAGAATTTTTTTTCATCCATTACTTGATTTCATGTTTTTTATGATTATAATGATGAATACACTAATTTTTAAGAAAATCCTTTAAGCATTTTATTAAATTTGTTGTATTATTTATAAACATCTTTGGTTTTTTAACTTTTGTTGCTTTTTTAACATTTTTTAGTCCACAGCCACTAGCTCTGTGAATTTTTTCTTTTTTGCTTTTTTTTCACGAATTCTTTAAAAACTGTTTTAATGTTTTATTAACCTTGGTAGGTGGACTTCAGGTTTATGTAGTTTTTATTATATTTACACTATTTATTTTAATATAATTTAAGTTTTCCCGATAGACGATTTAAAACGCGTTGCCTCTGTGAGGAAATAACTAAAAGAACTAAATTGTTAACAGCTGTTTAACAGGCTGCTTCATGTATTTATTTATTTTGCTAAACTACAGGGTTGGGAAAAGGCAAATACTATGAAATATATATTTTCTGATCATTTCTTATAAAAAAACATGCCGCGAAACATTTCTGCTATAGAAAAACTTTCTGAAGACAGTTTTTCTATATAAAAAGTTCCTGCAGATTGTTTTTCTATACAAAAAGTTCCTGACGAAAGTTTTTTTTTTATAGAAAAAGTTCCTGACGATAGTTTTTCTATAGAAAAAGTTCCTGACGAAAGTTTTTCTATAGAAAAAGTTCCTGACGAAAGTTTTTCTATAGAAATAGTTCCTGACGAAAGTTTTTCTATAGAAAAAGTTCTTGACGAAAGTTTTTCTATAGAAAAAGTTTCTGACGAAAGTTTTTCTATAGAAAAAGTTCCTGACGAAAGTTTTTCTATAGAAAAAGTTCCTGACGAAAGTTTTTCTATAGAAAAAGTTCCTGACGAAAGTTTTTCTATAGAAAAAGATCCTGACGAAAGTTTTTCTATAGAAAAAGTTCCTGACCAAAGTTTTTCTATAGAAAAAGTTCCTGACCAAAGTTTTTCTATAGAAAAAGTTCCTGACCAAAGTTTTTCTATAGAAAAAGTTCCTGACGAAAGTTTTTCTATAGAAAAAGTTCCTGACGAAAGTTTTTCTATAGAAAAAGTTCCTGACGAAAGTTTTTCTATAGAAAAAGTTCCTGACGAAAGTTTTTCTATAGAAAAAATTCCTGACGAAAGTTTTTCTATAGAAAAAATTCCTGACGAAAGTTTTTCTATAGAAAAAATTCCTGACGAAAGTTTTTCTATAGAAAAAGTTCCTGACGAAAGTTTTTCTATAGAAAAAGTTCCTGACGAAAGTTTTTCTATAGAAAAAGTTCCTGACGAAAGTTTTTCTATAGAAAAAGTTCCTGACGAAAGTTTTTCTATAGAAAAAGTTCCTGACGAAAGTTTTTCTATAGAAAAAGTTCCTGACGAAAGTTTTTCTATAGAAAAAGTTCCTGACGAAAGTTTTTCTATAGAAAAAGTTCCTGACGAAAGTTTTTCTATAGAAAAAGTTCCTGACGAAAGTTTTTCTATAGAAAAAGTTCCTGACGAAAGTTTTTCTATAGAAAAAGTTCCTGACGAAAGTTTTTCTATAGAAAAAGTTCCTGACGAAAGTTTTTCTAGAGAAAAAGTTCCTGTCGATAGTTATTATATATAAACAGTTCCTGATGAAAGTTATAAAGTTCCTGACGCAAGTTTTTCTATAGAAAATGCTTACTGAGAAAAGTAAATAATTTTTAACACAGTGTTATTTTAGGTATTATTATTTTTTTGTAATATCTTTATTTTAAAAATACAAAATGGTTTTAAATCATTAAAAATAAAAAAAGGTTTTTTGTTTAAACAATTTTCGTATGAATAAAAAACTATTATTTAAATAATAAATCTTAGACAATTGTGTTAAAAAAAGACAAAACAATAAAAAAACAGTTTTTTAAATAAAATTATAAGTTTTAATTTTTAAATAAATGACAAATTTTCTTATTTTTTTTCTTTAAAATAAAAAAACAAATTTTAAATTTAATTTTTCACAAAAAAAAAAACGAAATAAAATAAATTTTTATTTTATTGTTGATAAATAAAAAATTATTTTTAAAATTTGTTTTTCTTTTTAACAAAAAATTTGTGCAAATCAAATACTTATAGCACTAAAAAACAATTTAAATTATATATTAAGGTTTAAAAAATAAAATAAAAATACAATAATTTTTAAATAAAAAAAGAGAGCGAGTGCTTAAAAAATAAAATTTCGATATATACAACATAAAATTAACAAAATAAAATAAACATAAAACAATTTAAAGTTATTTTATGGTAAAAAATATTCGAGTAGATCGTAAATTATTAAAATTTATTTAATATAATACACAATTTTTTAAAAATTTAAACTCTTTGAGAGAGTTTAGTTTTGGGGGGGAGATTCTCTAGGTTTAAAAAGTAATGAGTTCGTTAGGAAAAATCAAGAAAGTCTTAAGAAAAAGTTTTTCGAAGGGTTTTATATAGAAAAAAGCTTTTTGCTAAAAGTTTTTCTATAGAAAAAGCTTTTTGTTGAAAGTTTTTCTATAGAAAAAGCTTTTTGTTGAAAGTTTTTCTATAGAAAAAGCTTTGTGTTAAAAGTTTTTTATAAAAAAGCTTTTTTGTTAAAAAGTTTTTCTGTAAAAAAGCTTTTTCTCGAAAAAATTTTTATAGAAAAAGCTTTTTCTTGAACGTTTTTCTGTAGAAAAAGCTTTTTTATGAAAGTTTTTCTATAAAAAAACGTTTTTGTTGAAAGTTTTATATAAAAGCTTTTTTGTTAAAAAGTTTTTCTATAAAAAAAACTTTTGTTGAAGGTTTTCCTATAGAGAAAGCTTTTTGTTGCAAGTTTTTCCATAGAAAAAGCTTTTTGTTGAAAGTTTTTTATAAAAAAGCTTTTTTGTTAAAAAGTTTTTCTATAGAAAAATCTTTTTGTTCAAAATTTTTCTATAGAAAAAGCTTTTTTATGAAAGTTTTTCTATAAAAAAAGTTTTTGTTGAAAGTTTTTTATAAAAGCTTTTTTGTTAAAAAGTTTTTCTATAGAAAAAGCTTTTGTTGAAGGTTTTGCTATAGAAAACGCTTTTTGTTAAAAGTTTTTCCATAGAAAAAGCTTTCTGTTTAAAGTTTTTCCATACAAAAAGCTTTTTGTTGAAAGTTTTCATTAAAAGTTTTTCTATAAAAAAAACTTTTTGTTGAACGTTTTTCTTTAAAAAAGCTTAACGTGAAACCTTCTTATAGAAAAAGCTTTTTGTTGAAAGCTTTTCTATAGAAAAAGTTTTTTGTTGAAAGCTTTTCTAAGAAAAAAGTTTTTGTAGAAAATTTTTTTTATAGCAAGAGCTTTTCGACAAATTTTTTTCTAGAAAAAGCTTTTAGATGAAAATTTTTTTATAGAAAAAGCTTTTTGATAAAATTTTTTTATAAAGCTTTTAGACAGACGTTTTTTTTAGTTTAGCAAAGGTTACTTTAACAAGTTTTTCTATATAAAAAGTTCCTACAAATAGTTTTTCTTTGTAAGATTTCCTTGATTTTTCCTTTAACTAAACTTTAAACTACTGTTTAAATTTAAAATAATACAATATTTTAATTTAATAATAATCATACAAAAACACAATATTAAAAACAATTTACAAAAGTTTTCTTTTTTAATTTAAATTATTATCATAATAATAAAACTAAATAATGCCTTTAAATATTTTGAGGGATAAAAATTATCCCCTAATAATTTGAGAAGAGATTATTACATATATTTTTGTTTAAGAGTAACTTGTTTTAAAAAAGTGTAAAAAAAACATACTAAGCTGTTAATATATTTTTTCATATCAAACTTAAACTAGTTTTTTTTATATATATATTTTTAATATTGTATAAATATGTTTATTAATTATTGCATAGCAGTTCTGTTTTGTTGTTATTTGTATAATTCTTAATTTGGGTCGTTTATCGTTTTCTGTGTTTTCATGGGGAATGTTTTTTTTTTTTAATATTTTTATGTATAAATATAAAAAATACATAGTATAAAAAAGATTTAAATGCATTATTATATTAATTAATTATTTGTGTTTAGGCATAAAATGTTCAAAAATTTAATTTTATATCGATATAATCGCAATCGATGGACTACCAGCTACGAGTTAAAACTACTAATTTTATAAATAAATTTTTTAAATTTAATTAAAGTTTTTCTCTTTAGACATCTAGCTCTTCGAGCGTGCGTGATAGACGATTATTATCTATACGTCGTCGCTGACTACGTCGTACAGCATCGGCTCGCCGATAGGGTTCACTTTTGAGGCCCAATAATATATCCTCTAATGCCCCATTATAAACCTCATCTTGCTGCAATAGCTTTTTCTCTCTTACCGAATTGGCCTTACATTTCAATTCATTAATGACCGCTTCCTGTAAGGAGACACCACCAGCGGGTAACTTGTTTTTGTTAAGGTTCGTTTTTTTTTTTAATAAAACAAAAACAATTGTTTAGGCCAAACAAAAGAAAATTAGCAAAGAGCATAAAATTAAAAAAGAAAAAGAGAATAAACAAAAGAAAATTAGTTTAGAGAAAAAAGCGTTTTTTTTTTTAAAAAGCCTTTACCAATTAAAATAAAATAAATTAAAATTAATCTAATTTATTTTATATAAAATTTCAGTGAATAAAGCTAGAGAGAGCTACAGTGGTAACGTTAGAGATAGACAGTGTGTTCTAGTATGAGTGATTATTTTTTTTTTTACATTTTTTTTTGTAGTCGTTGCATGACTGTGGAAATGTTAATGTTAATTAATTATTAATAACAACTTTAAAAATGGTTAATTATAGTTTCTACGTTTAAAACTCAAAATGTTAAAACACAAAATAATTATAAACAACAATAACACAATACGTTTTTAGCGGTTTAAAAAAAGACAACACGATTTTTTAGGTTTTAAGGCTTAAAAAGAGCTTTTGGGTAAAAACAAAAAAGAAAAGAGTACAAAATACTAAAGAGCTTTCACAACAATGCAAGTTTTTCTAATGGAAAAAACTTTCACATAAAAGCTTTCTTAAATTTTTTCTAAGAAAAACTTTTTACTGTAAACGTTTTTACAAAAAAAGCTTTTTGTTGAAATTTTTTCTATAGAAAAACCTTTCTGTTGAAATTTGTTCTATAGAAAAAGCTTTATGTTAAATTTTTTTATAGGCAAAGCTTTCTGTTTAAATTTTTTTAGAGAAAAGCTTTCTGTTGAATTATTTTAAGAAAAAGCTTTCTGTTGAAAGTTTGTCCATGAAAAAGCTTTATGTAAAAGTATTTCTAAAAGAAAAACTTTCTGCTGAAAATATTTCTATAGAAAAAGCTTTCTTTTGAAAATTTTCTATAATGCTTCGTTTGAATGTTGTTTCTATAGAAAAAGCTTTCT